CGCAGTGAGAGACTGTCCCTCAGTGAGAGACTCTCCCTCAGTGAGAGACTGTTCCTCAGTGAGAGACTCTCCCTCATTGAGAGACTGTCCCGCAGTGAGAGACTGTCCTTGAGTAAGAGACTCTCCCTCAGTGAGATACTCTCCCAGAGTGAGATGCTGTCCCTCAGTGAGATACTCTCCCTCAGTGAGAGACTCTCCCTCAGTGAGATGCTGTCCCTCAGTGAGAGACTCTCCCTCAGTGAGATGCTGTCCCTCAGTGAGAGGCTGATACCTAGACCAGCAGACTTGTAAAGGGTTATTATTTGCTGGATAGTGAGTGTTACTGACAAAGCCATCACATGTTTCTTTGTTATCCACGATTTCGGTTACTCACAATTCATTTAGTTTATGAAAGCGGGTTCTCATTAACTGGGAGTGACATGAGCGCTGATGGGTAACTGTGGAGGAGAGACCTCAGGGGGAGAGAGGTTGTATTTGCTAACTGTTCTGATAGAGCTCATTTAGGAATTGCGTTAGGGAGCAGGAACAGTCAGGATTAGCGAACGAGCTCAGACAGCCCTCATGGGGAGGGGCCAGTCATGTCAATCACATTGATCACATGACCTCTCAATGCCAGCCTTGTCTTCCGCTGATTGGTCACTTGACCTGCCCAATCAGTGAGTCAACAGTGTCAATGGTTGGTGTTTTGACCAGCACGGACACGGTGGGCCGAAGGGCCTATGTAGATCTCCATGATACTGTGATTATGCCTCTCTGTTCCCTGATTGGGTGATTGATTGGCACTTGGTCAAGTCTCTGTCACTTTCTCCTCTGGAATATCTGATTGGTTGTTTGAATTTCCTCTTTGTGATGGTGTTTGGGAAATGGATCCCCAATCCCTGACAACTCTCAGAGAACCAGCAGCTTGCACGGACTGGGAATTAGCTGCTCGCTTCCAACGGACCGTCTCCTGTTTCTGCTTTGGCAGCTCACAGTAGCTCCTTTCAGTCTCCCACAGAATCAGCAGCCAAGGGTTCCCACTACTACAGCCCTTTCTGGTGAAGGAAGCTGGACACCACTGAGATAACGGGGTCAGGGTCGGGGTTAGGGTTAGGGACGGGGTCAGGGACAGGATCAGGGTTAGGGTCAGGGTCAGGATTAGGGTCAGGGTCAGGGTCAGGTTTAGGGTTAGGGACGGGGTCAGGGACAGGATCAGGGTTAGGGTCAGGGTCAGGGTCGGGGTTAGGGTTAGGGACGGGGTCAGAGACAGGATCAGGGTCAGGGTCAGGGTCAGGATCAGGGTCAGGGTCAGGGTTAGGAAGAGCTAATGAAACATTTCAGCCACAGCCCAGTGTTACCCTGATTGGCTGCACAGTTTTGTGCACTCGAGCCTCAGAGACGACAAGCAGAGTGAGGGGCTGGGAAGGGTATAAGGAAGGAAGGGGCTGGGTTAGGCAGTGGACTGAGTGACCTGTGTCACACCTTCTTACTGCCCTATGCATAGCGCAGTTGGCTTTTGTAGATTCTAATTCCTGTGATTATCCAAACCTGAGGGGACAATGTGCTCTTTCAGATCATCCTCCATTCGATGCACAGGTACCAGCCCCGTTTCCATGTTGTACAGGCCAACCAGCTGTACAGTCTCCGCTGGAACTGCACTGCCACGTTTGTGTTTCCTGAGATGGTCTTCACTGCAGTAACAGCCTACCAGAACTCCCAGGTAACCAGCCCATACCTCACCCCCTCAGCACCCTGTCCCTACAGCCACCGAGCACAGACAACCCTCACTTAGAACCTAACCCGAGAGAGACACATTTTGTTTTCCCGTTTTCAGCCCCTCCACCCACCATTCCTTACATTTTTACCATGCTATCAGCTTCATTCTGAGTGTGACAGAGTGGGGGAGTGTGGGCAGGGAGTGGATCAGTGTTGGTGGGGAATGAGGGTCCTGGGCAGGTTGGTACCGTATCAGATGAATGGGTGCTACAATGAGACTGTGTGCATTGCAACACTATACCCAGGGGAGAGAGCTAGTGGGGCTCCAATGCCTCAGGATGCACTCACACTGGGGTACAGTCACACTGGTAATACAGTCACACTGGTAATACAGTCACACTGGGGTACAGTCACACTGGTAATACAGTCACACTGGGGTACAGTCACACTGGGGTTCAGTCACACTGGTAATACAGTCACACTTGTAACACAGTCACACTGGGGTTCAGTCACACTGGTAATACAGTTGCACTGAGGTGCAGTCACACTGCGGTTCAGACCCACTGGGGTTCCGTCACACTGGTGTTCAGTCACACTG